AGTAGTTGGGCGGCTTCCGTGATTTCTCATTGCTTTTCGGCCGAGTGTGCCCTTGACTCGGGATGCGCTTGTCAGTGAGAGTACACGAGGCCTGGTAGGCGGGTGGCAGAACAGCTAAAGTGCTGAAATAGGCGACCCGACCATTGGGAATGACGATTTATCGCTCGATTCCAACGAGTGGGCTAACCAATCGTTGTGCCAATGTGTGAGATGGCCACCAAAGGTACAGGTCTTTCTAAACTCTACCTCTTCTGTTCGGACACCCAAATGATCATGACGGCGGCCCTGCGCCCACACAGTCAATTTGTGCCCTCGTATCTGGGTCGAAGCTGTTATACGGGTTCACGATCTCAGACAATTGCAATGAGGGTTTGACCTACAACTCGTATGCTCGTTCCTATTCGTGTGATAGTAGCACGCTCTCAGTGTCGGGCCTGCGATCTTGCCTCCCGCTACTGGGCAAGCTTCCCCTCAACTCAGTTTCTACGCGCTGTCACTGCCACTCCTTTCCTTCATTGGCCAATTTGTACTGCACCCGCCTGATTCTCATTGTTCATCCTTTTTGGCACTTGTAGACCATTCTCACAAAGCCTGCCTCGAGGGCCTATTAGCGATGCATTTGATGTCGCCGAGCTTTACTTTCAGTCCTTCTCCGCTGGAGGATTCTCTGCTCCTCTATAACCGCATCATCAGGTCCGATTTCCTGACTTTGGACTCCAAACTGCGGGACCCCAAAGTTGCCTGCGTTGCCGTCGATCAAAAACCGTCCTACATCGGTTTGACTAGTCGCAGTTTCCCGGTCTACGCACGCGCTGTTATTGATGCTATTCTAAGGTCAGTCTTACCAGTAGCTTCGTTCTTAACGGCCAAAGTGAGGTAGAGACTTTCAGTAAATGGCCTAAACCAAGCAGTATTTAAGGTTACGAAGATTTGAGGTCTACCGGGACTGTGTCTAACTATGATCGTATAGTATTTGTTGCTAAGAAATTCAAATGACAACTTCGCCTGCGGACTCGGCTACCTGGCTCATCTTTGCATTATCTGATTACTTATCGATTTTCATAACTCGAAATTTTTGGTTACCTCCACAAATAGCCCCGTGCATGTTGCTTTGACATTTGAACGCCTTGTTCGTTTGGCTGCCTAAATATTGACACAATATTTATGCCTGTAGGCTGCGGTAGGGCTTCTGCATTAATCTTGCCTGTCTAAAAAGTCTTTCTCTTGGAAGACAAAACAGTACTTTACCAGTTCATTTAACCACACGACCCATAAAACCATGCAATAACGGCGTTCAGGATCTGTCCGAGCTGCAGAGCGGAACGTGGGCGTTCTCCCCTTTTTTAACCAGTGAATAAAAGTGACAGGACGGGAGCCTGCGGTCCAACTGGTAAAGCATCTGCATCAATGATCATTTGAACGTGCGTTCAAGCTTTAAGTCCTCCCCCTTATGATTTGGTGCATTGGTGTCTGACAACAACAGACCGAGCAGACATATTTATTTCGCTTTCTAATATCCTTGCCAGTCATACTGCTCAGCACAACTCATCATTATCACTCATCCATAACGATTATCTGGGGACTCTCAACCCTGTTAATCTGCTTCCAAATCCTGGAATAGCCACGCGTGTCTTACATAGTCGAACTTGCGTCGATTGATAGTCTGCTTTTTTCTGATATCATTTGCCCGTTTGACTCTTCAGGAGTTTGCTTTGTTCAATTTTCCTTTGAGGTCCGTAAAAGAGCTCTCTAAGCGAAGCTCCTCTGCATTGAAGCCCTGTGATGTGTCCGTTGCTCAACTAACTCCTTGGAACACCTGCGTGGATTGCATCGTCTCCTTTTTCGACCTAGCCCGCAGTCCGCAAAAATCTTCTGATCCGCCGTCTAAACCAGACCGTCATTTCGTTGCCCTTTTGCCACGTCTTATGCGAGTCGGCCGGATTCTTGTTGAGAGTGTGCTGCGTTGTGTGATGTGTCTACTGGGCTCTATTTTTCGGTAAGTTGTACAGCCATACCAACATCATGGCTATTTCCGCCTCCTCCGCCCTGCAGACCGTAGTCTTAGCCGCATTCCACCACCACCACCACCACCACCACCACCACCACCACCACCACCACCACCACCACCACCATCATTGCGGTCATCATCATCGTCATCACTACCTATGTTGGCAGATCGAGCCCTGATGCTGTCCCACCCTGAATTGGTTGCTCCTTGAAGGTCGAACCATGACCGGTCTCCCAATGTCTGCTGCAAGTTGAAAGTGGGGGTCCGGCCTCCATGTCGCGAATTCGTGCTCGTTAGGGTTGGTCTGCGGGTTCCGTTCATTTCCTCCATGCAGTTGCAGTGCCCACCACTGCAGCATTTTGCGGGCAACTGCCTAGGTCCCGGTCAACACCCACTGCCTGTTTGGGTAGGATAACTGTACTCATGTGTCTATCTTGACTTGCAGTTATTTCCCCCCGCTTTTTGTGTCTGGCAGGCAACATACCACGGAAGTTTTGAATTTCATCCGCAACCTGCAACAGCTTACACGCCTACTTCAGCGTGCCTGTGTTCACGCCAAGAAGAATCAGGACACGCGGCTCATTCAGCAGATTCCGGGTACCAGAAAATGTTTGGAGTCTTTCGTGTGTGCTGTCAAGGTCAGTTTCTGATCACCTCTATTGGCTACCCCGTTCAGTGTTGCCACTGCTGTGTCCGCTATCATTTATATCCATCCCATCAGTTTTAGGCCAGCAAACATGATCATACCGGAGTTTTAGTGCACTACGCGTAGTCGCCCGAACCAATGCTTGCATTGCTTACCATTTTGTTTCAAATGAATACAACTGAGTTCATTTTGCTGCATCTTTTGAACGCGATCACTTTAGTGCCATTCACTCCAGAAAATAGCGTCTACGTCTTGGACGCATTGGGTATGCGCTGCGTTGCTCCAACCGCCCCTGATTCGAGCTGGACTTCGCTAGTTGTACAGTTATATCGCCTGTTTCTGAAAGTATGTCCGCTTATGGGGTTACTGTTGGCCTATACGTGCTACCTAGCTGAAGAGGATTGGGGTGTTCGACACCTGCCTCCGGAGCATACTGTGACCTCAGCTGATGGGCCGTATCTCCTCGAACTTTGAAACCAACCACAGTTGGGGACACTTCCTGCCGGCTGTGTTATGGAAGATTTCTGTCCCAGATGGCTTGGTCTCC